GAAGTAAACAAAAATAAAACTAAACTCATTCAATTTCATCCATACCAAAAGCAACCACTTGATTTAAACAAGGTTAGGATTTCCCAAAATATTGAAGAAGTAACCGATGTTCAATTGTTAGGCATAACCATCGACTCACATCTGAACTGGAAACCTCATATAGATAAAATAAAGAAAAAGGTTTCACAATTTATTTTCGCGCTTAGCGTTCTTAAGAGCCCTTTTACAAAATTGCGCCGCTCTAGTTTAGGTAAATATGACCGCGAGCGTGTCCGAGTCGCACGAGCGAGACATCGAAGCAGCGAAGTTCAGTATAGCGCGCTTTACCAAATTGATACTTTAATATGCAATTATTGATTATACAATAAATGCAAATATAAAATAAAGTTAATTTGAAGTGCTGAGATGGATCCCTACTGTAGCAACGAACGATTCTAGATACGAATCCTGAGTGGAGCAAAGGATACAAGGATTAAGTTTTTTACTATTGTGAGAAAATAAATAATATATTTATAGTACCCATTGGTTGCGTTTTGGAAATGACAATAAAGATTAATTATGATTATTACTAATTATTGTAAAAATACAAGTAAATAAAATATTATTTCTCATTGCCACTCGAAAAAGGGATTTCATTCAGCGATAACAGTGAACAAACTTTTCATTTAATTACTGAGTGAATAAAAAAATTTGAACAAACAGAAGTTATGCAAATCAAACATATAAATGATTTGCATAACTTCTGTTTGTTCAAATTTTTTTATTCACTCAGTAATTAAATGAAAAGTTTGTTCACTGTTATCGCTGAATGAAATCCCTTTTTCGAGTGGCAATGAGAAATAATATTTTATTTACTTGTATTTTTAGTATTGACTTTTTTAATGATGATTGATGTTTGGTAATAATCAAATATCTCAGTAAAACTTTACTAAGTGTAGTTCTGTCTTTGCCTTCGTAGTTCATTTAATAAAAAAGTTTTCGCACTCTGTATTTTCAATATATATATCTGTAAGAGTATTTGATAAAAAAATAAAAAGCATGTTTTTTTGTATTCGTGTAATTTCCATTCATTTAAACAAAACCCATCAAAAGCATTTAACTTTTATAGGAACTCATCTCTTACACACCTAACTCATGAAATTTTTGCTGCGAGTTCTCATATGGTAATTTCAGGATAAATAATATGAAAACGGAGCTGGGAAAGTTCACACCTCTTCCATCACTAGCTGCTGTAAAGCACATTCAATAAAATCTGCTATTCTCTATACAATTAATTACTCATCAGTGTTATCAAAGATTATCATCACTGATGCTATCATAACCGGAAGCAGTCTGGTAGTATAAGGTATCACTTACAATGTTTGTCTCTTTTTGAAACTGATGATTGATGTTTTGTTTTTCGTAAATTACAATGAAGGTTATATTATAGTTATCTATAATAATATATTATTCTTTGTGGATTAATTTTAATAAAAGTATGACGATAATAAACAAAATACTTATAATAACAACATCTGAAATTTCCTCGCTCATTGTCAATTCTATAAGTTCTTATTTCAGCTGAGGTGATATTGATATGTTGACATTTGACGGTCCAACACCCAGTCTGGTGTTTCCAAGTGCAAAATGTCCTGGTATCATTACACGTCCTCCATCAACCATATACTCCTCCTGAAAACAGATTATCTAATTATCTAATTAACGCTTCCCCTTGTTCCTCGGATTCGATTTCCAATCCAACAGCATTTTTTTCCTATATAATTAAATTTATTATTATAATTTCAATTTCTCTTTTCATTGTCTACTTCCAATAACAACATGACAAACTTACAGTTTCCGTTGCAATCGAATCCATTGAACTTATGGTCGGTATAGTTTCAATATTTTTTTTCCATCTAAAATACATAGAACTGTGGATTTCTATTCTAAATATATTATTATGTTGGGCCAATATGTACTTTGGCGGCCCACGAGCTTATACTTGTTATACTTGATCGAAATGCAAAATTTTACCGCACTCTAGCTTTTTTTATAGACATAAGGATAGATTGACATACCCATTAAGTCAGTAAGTTAAAATCGTTGGCCATTAGAGTACAAAAATAAAAAACGAAATGTTATGAGCATATTCACCTTGCTTCACAAGCTTTCTTTATGGCTGCATCATTCTTTCGTTTTTTTTGACACAATGGTAAGCAGGAATTTTACGCCCCATTGTAAAAGCTTATAACAAAAATATTAGTTGAAGCAACGATAATTAATAACTAGGTAGGTACTTATGATAATAAAATTTAATACGGTTGTGGATACTTACATACAGTCAACGATTAAACTTTTGCGGTCGTAGTATATCCAGCCAGTTTTACGATGAATGCACTCGTAGCATCGCTCGGAACGCGTGCGGTACAAAGCGACACAGGTCCGACCTCCAAAGGCGCTGGCGCCGTACTGAACGGCGTCTTGATTTGCACTACTATATATTGCATTTTACGGGTGATGTTCAGAGTCTTATAAAATAATAATTAATGAAATTATTATAAAATTATATACATATTTCAGTAGTTCAATGATTGTAGATTAGTTTTATGTCAGTTTTTGATAGTAATTCTATTTAATTCAATATCAAAATACGAGGTAAACCTGCGTTATTTTTTGGGGAAACTCACGGAGGTTAGATGTTTTTTTTAATAATTAATGAGATGGAAAATCAAGATTCTAATACATTATGTTGCAACAAAAACATATTTCTGGTGTCGTAGTAATTAATTTGATCTAATTTATTGAACATTATTGTGAGATTAAGGCGTTTTTAGTTGTGCATATTATCGTTTTTTCCGTAAACTAGCTGCGGTAGAACGATCAGTACAAAAAAATGGAAATAGTATTTGAAAATATTCTACATTAATTTTCAATAGGAAGAATAAATCTACTGTTTACTTCTATTGGAAGTAGTCAAAATCTCTTCTAAGGGGGCAAACGAGGCGCTCAGAAATTGCAATTTATTGCAAAAAATGTGAAAGGGCTCTTAAGGCCAATACGAATGCAAAATGCGCCTTGTCTGCTTACTACGCATATACATACGCATGGTTGCGCTATGGAATAATATTATGGGGGCATAGTACGGACGTTCACGACCTTTTTATCCTTCAAAAAAAGTGTCTCCGTATTATCGTCAATATCAGACAGCAAGTAAGTTGTAAACCACATTTCATTAAAGAGAAATTGTTAACCCTTCCTTCACTGTATATCATGGAAATAGCATTGTTTGTTCGCAAACAACCAACATATTTTACATTCAATAAAAATCCGCGATATAAATTTGATTTAGTATTACCAGTGCCAAAACTAGAAATGTTCAAAAAAAGTCCTCTATACCGTTCAATTCAAATATATAACAAAATTCCGATAGAAATTAAAAGAGAAAGCAACATAAATACATTTAAAATGAAACTCAAGCAACATCTAATCAAGAAAGCATACTATTCGGTAAATGAATTTATGAATGATAAGTGAAACTGTCACGGAAAGCTCACTAACTTGTTTGAAATTAAAACTGTTTAGTAGTTGTGGTGATATAGTTATTGTACTTGCAACACCCTGACAGGGTCATGTACCATGCCAAAATAATTTTAAGATCCTGTATATACTGTACATGTGCAATTAATTAAATAAATAAATAAATTAGTCAATAACGTGAGATCGTTTTCTAAAACTTGTCAAATACCCTATTATAGTTCCTATCTGGTCCGCGTGGATTTTTTTCTAGTAATATTGAGAAGGGACGTTACGTGAACATTGCAGTAGCTCCTATTCAAATGAATGACGATCAGTACGCGACCAACAGTCATGGTCATTTGTTGAAAAGGATGATGGGCAAAAATGTATGGAACTTGGTATTCGTTCCAATAGAGATGTGTTACATATCATTTGAAAGGTCTACTTAAATACAATAATGTCTACTATGGCGCTTGCCCTGATACGTTGTCGAAACAGAGTTATATAATAAATAATAAAAAAAAGTTTTTTCTTTTTAAATTGTTATACAATTTAGTATTTACATTATTTTAGCAGTGTTGTAAGTATTAATAATAGGCATTAGGTTAGAGCGTTGATATCTGCAATAGTTTAAAAAAAAGTACTGCAGTGCCTTCTGACTTAGTAACAATACAACCTCGTGAGAACTATTTAATGTTTATCTTCAACGAGAACGTTAATAAAAGAAAATGGTAAAAAACATAATAAAAAAAACAATAACTAGCTTGTTATCTTGAACGGTAACCATAGGTGTATATTGAGTGGGCCGTGCCCACTCCAGGACGGTCTGGTTCTATGTCAATAGTTGGTCTCTAACGATGTATCCGGGCGATATTCGCTCGGATGAAGGCACATATTCACCTGTACACCAGTTCCGTGAACAGCCCCAGCAGCGCCACCTGCAGGGCCGTCTGTGTGTATGCGTAGACCCGGTAGTTGGTCTCCACCACGATATACCCGGCCGATATTCCCACATATTCACCTGTACACCAGCTCCGTGAACAGCCCCAGCAGCGCCACCTGCAGGGCCGTCTGTGTGTATGCGTAGACCCGGTAGTTGGTCTCCACCACGATATACCCGGCCGATATTCCCACATATTCACCTGTACACCAGCTCCGTGAACAGCCCCAGCAGCGCCACCTGCAGGGCCGTCTGTGTGTATGCGTAGACCCGGTAGTTGGTCTCCACCACGATATACCCGGCCGATATTCCCACATATTCACCTGTACACCAGCTCCGTGAACAGCCCCAGCAGCGCCACCTGCAGGGCCGTCTGTGTGTATGCGTAGACCCGGTAGTTGGTCTCCACCACGATATACCCGGCCGATATTCCCACATATTCACCTGTACACCAGCTCCGTGAACAGCCCCAGCAGCGCCACCTGCAGGGCCGTCTGTGTGTATGCGTAGACCCGGTAGTTGGTCTCCACCACGATATACCCGGCCGATATTCCCACATATTCACCTGTACACCAGCTCCGTGAACAGCCCCAGCAGCGCCACCTGCAGGGCCGTCTGCGTGTATGCGTAGACCCGGTAGTTGGTCTCCACCACGATATACCCGGGGGAGCGCGCCGCCTCCAGGGCCCCGGGCCCGTCCCTCACACTCGCGATGTTCAGGGCCAGCCGGGTCGGGTAGAAGCGGCCCGCTTTACGCTGCAAACGCAAACAAAATCCTTCACTGTATATAATGGAAATAGCATTGTATGACACAGCAATCAAAATTCAGGTAAACGATTAATGTATATTTAATAATTATGTAATGAAAAGTGACTTCATGAATCACCTCTGAAGTCATTTTTCAATTTGACGACTCTGTAAATAATAAAACAGGGAGAAAAAAACAGCCCTTGCTGAGTTTCTTGCCGGTTTTTCTCAGTACAAGGTCTCCCGCCGTAGATTTACGAACCGATGGCGTAGCTTCTAGACATTCATGAGTGCTTGTAACAGCCTAAACTGAATAAATGATTTTGATTATGATTATGATTATTGTTTGTTCGCAAACAACCAACATATTTTACATTCAATAAAAATCCGCGATATAAAGGACACCCGGCATTTTGTGCCAAAGTTGTATACTTTTTTTTAATTTTTTTATCTGTGTTTCATAATTGGGTAACGTAGTCTGGCAATATTTGTCATCAGCAGCTAGCTGTCAATGTCAAATACGTAGGTTTGTCATAAAAAGGGTTTCTATATCAAAAAATATTAATCATTAAATAGCTTCTTTCCGCGATTCACTAAAAATAAGGCAAAAGTAGTTTTATGTAGCAAATAATTTTGGCTTTATTTTGAGACCAAATTCAACTGTATACAAGTTTAGCATTTTTTCTATGAAAAGTGCCAGGTCTCCTTTGATTTAGTATTACCAGTGCCAAAACTAGAAATGTTCAAAAAAAGTCCTCTATACCGTTCAATTCTAATATATAATAAAATTCAGATAGAAATTAAAAGAGAAAGCAACATAGAAACATTTAAAATGTAACTCAAACAACATATTGGTGCCAATTCTGGCGTAATTCTCTAAACTTAAAACTAAATTTAACATCAGTCTCTCCTTTTCATTCTGTATAGAAAATGACAAGGATATACTGCTGTCAAATTAAGGTTTAGGTTTAGAGAATCATGCTAGAATCGACACCATTATCAAGAAAGCATACTATTCGGTAAATGAATTTATGAATGATAAGTGAAACCGTCACGGAAAGCTCACTAACTTGTTTGAAACTGAATCTGTTTAGCAGTTGTGTATATATTGTGTGTGTATAGTTGTGTATATATTAATAAACTAGTGGCCCGCCCTCGCTTCGCTTCGGGGTAGAATTGATCAAAATCCTTTCTTAGCGGATGCCTACCTCATAACATCTACCTGCATGCCAAATTTCAGCCCGATCCGTCCAGTGGTTTGGGCTGTGCGTTGATAGATATTCAGTCACTATGTCAGTCAGTCACCTTTGAGTTTTATATATATAGACAAGCTGTACCAGCGAGCTTCGTACCGCCATAAAAAATTAGGAGTTGGTGGTAGAAGGGTGAAAGTTTAGACTTGTATGCATTTTTGTATGATCTATCATTAAAAAAAAAGAGCGAGCCTTACAGTAGTCGCGTATGATGTGTAACAATTGAAACCTCACCTTATATTAGTAAAAATTAGAAATAAAACCTACTACAAAAGGAAAAAGCCATTTGAACATTATGTTCTAACATCAAATCAAATAGCGCGTGCTTTCGCGACTTCCTGTTACACACTTCCGTCCCATTTCACGAATCACTCCCACAAATTGCAGGAAAGCGAGAGGAAAAATGTTACACATCAAAAAAAAAAATTAAAGAATTTGCCCAAAAAAAATTAAGGGAGAGAATTAACATTTAGAGAGAAAAATAGATGTTGTCCGATTCTCAGACCTACTGAAAATGCATATCAAATTTCACGAAAATCGGTGGAGTCGTTTCGGAGTAATTTAATTACGCACACCGTAACACGAGAATTTTATATCTTATATATAAAATTCTCCTGTCACAATGTTAGCTACCATACTTCTCCGAAACGGCCTGACCGATTTTTATAAAATTTTATATGGATATTTCGTAGGTCTGAGAATCGGCTACTATCTATTTTTCATATCTTAAAGTGATAATGGTTGTCCACCTGTAACGTAGTGTTCTGAAACCTACAATGCGCCTTCGCACCAAAATTCAAACTATTAGGTATTGTAACGTACTGTTCTCATATGGGTTAGGAGGAATGCAAGCCCAGGAAATTGATAGAACACTACGTTACACACCCCTAAAATTATTTTAGACAATCGGCCTGATTCTCTAAACTTAAGCTAAATTTAACATCAGTCTCTCCTTTTCACTCTGTATAGAAAATGACAAAGATACACTGTTGTCAAATTTAAGTTTAGGTTTAGAGAATCATGCCAGAATCGACACCAATATTTATTTTTTTATAATTTATTTATTTATTTTTAAACTTTATTGACCAAAATATAAATATATAACATTGGTGCAAAAGGCGGACTTAATGCTAAAAGCATTCTCTCCCAGTCAACCTTTGGGAAAAATGAAAAACACGAACGGCGGTATAAGCTAAATACGAATATATATATACAAATTAACATAGATACATATATAAATACATACTATAAAAATAATATTATACATACAAACAAAACACACTAATATTTAAATATATACAGTATACATATATATATATACACATATATGCACAAGATGATGATTAATAAAATGACACTTCATCTTAAGTTTTGCAACAGATGAGCATGAACATTCCTTTTAAATATAAGTTTACTAGGAGATCTTCTGATGGAGTCGGGAAGGTCATTCCACAGTCGTATAGCTTGAATAGTAAAGGAGTTGGACATATAGCCTGAATGAGAAAGAGGAATATAGAGAGCTAATGAATCAGCAGAGCGGAGAGGACGATCGTGACTATCACAGAGATACTGAAACTTGCATTTCAAGTACTCTGGAGAATGAGGGTTGAAAATAATGGAAAAAAGAGTGCAGAGTTATCTTAACTGCCTACGCTGGCGAATAGGAAGCCATTTTAGTTGGGATCGATATAAAGAAACATGGTCGAATTTGCGGAGGCAAAAGATGAAACGTATAGCATTATTCATGAGGCGGTCCAATTTATTGAGAAGATCTGCATTTAAATCAGGATAACAGACATTGGCATAATCAATGAGAGGTAGAACAAGGGACGTAACGAGAGTGATCTTTGTTTTAATGGGGAGAAAATTTCTGTAACGATTAAGGGTACGCAACGAAAAAGACACGATTCGGCTGACTTCGGCAATCTGCGTCGTCCAACTTAGCGTAGTATCAATATGAAGACCGAGATTTTTAACGCTTAGGCTAAATGGAATTTTAGAACCTTCAAAAACAACAGGTGGGAGCAGACCAAAATCAATCTTGGAGATCTGCTTGGAGCCACCCACTACAAAAGCTTGACATTTGGTGGGGTTAACGGCAATTCCAAAGTCAGCAGACCAAGAACTTACATTGCATAGTTCCCTATTGAGCTGAGATATTCCATCAGAAATTTCCTCAGCAGTCGTCTGTACATAAATCTGCAAATCGTCAGCATAGAAATGATAAAAGCAGCCGAGCGAGAAGGAAAGAAAATTAATGAACAAAGAGAAAAGAAGAGGGGAAAGAATGCCCCCTTGTGGAACGCCAGCAGTCAAGTCATTCCAACTTGACAATTCACGCTCACTGCGCACTGCCTGCTGGCGACCAGAGAGGTAAGATGAAAACCAGTCCAATGTCAAAGAAGAAAAATTAAGAGTTTTCAGAATCGCAAGTAGAAGGTCGTGGTCCACCATATTGAAAGCATTGGAAAAGTCAATTAGGACAATAATGGTGACCAACTGGTTCTCCATGCCAAGCCGGATGTCCTCGGTTACTTTAAGTAGAGCTGTCGATGTACTATGCCCAGGTCGAAAGCCGGACTGAAAGGGAGTAAGTAACTGCCTAGAGTGTACAAAAGATGATATTTGATAGTGAGCAGCAGCTTCAAGGATTTTGGAGAGGAATGGGAGGATGGAAATCGGCCTAAAGTTGTTCAATTGTGTAGGGGTGGAAGTTTTAGGGATGGGAATAACGTAGGCTTTACGCCAGGGACGTGGATAGCAACCAGTAAGAAAGGAATAATTGACGATATGGCCAATAATTGGGAGGATAATGTCAAGGATATTTATTACCATATCCCTGCTCACATGATCGTATCCTACGGCTTTCGATTTTATGGACACAATAATTTTCTTAATTTCATCGTTTGACATTGGAGAAAAGGAAAAGGATACAGTGAGATTGAGCCATGGAAGTTATAAGATCGATAGTTTTAGTTTTGATAGCGGGTTCCAAGGAAGAAATACCAGAGAAGTGTTTATTAAACTCATCAAGAGAGAAAGGGAGGGACTGAGATGGAGAAGAGTTTTTACCCAACCCAAGTGAACGCAAAAACTTCCAGATATTGGCTGAAGAACAATTAGAAGTGTTATTATGAAAATATTGACGCTTAGCTGCCCTTACCATTCCATTGCATCTATTGCGTGCAGATTTATAGAGACGCCAGTTTTCCTCCGACCTGCTGCGCTTAAAGGTTCGGAACGCACGGTCCCTCCGAGTCATGGCCATACGGACACCTCTATTAATCCACGGGGCAGGTGGTCGCTTAACTCTTACCGCCCTCACTGGGGCATGAGTATCGTACAGTTGGAGTAAACGATTATTAAAATGAGAGACTTTCTCATCGACTGACGATGACTCCAAAACACAGGAAAAGTCGATCCGAGCAGCATCCTCCCTCAACCTGTCAAGGTCAAGTCTAGAGAAATTACGCATATGGAGTACAGTAGGTTTCTGCTTTGGGGGTTTCAACTTATATTTTAAGAAGATGAGGTCATGTTTAGAAAACCCGGGGGCCGGTAGTTGACCATGACCGATCACATCATCAGGAGAGGTTATTATTAAATCAAGCCATGTATCATAAGAAGAGGGGTTGTGATGCGTAGGCTCAGAAGGCAGAATAGAGAGATTGATGGACTTGACAATATTAGACAATTTAAGAGACTGCGGCGTATTACGCATAAGATCGGTATTAAAATCACCCATGATTATGAGATGCCTGTAATCTGTACAAAGAGGTTCGAGGATAGACTCAAGTTGAGTGAGATAGTCTACAGTAGGCGGACAGTACACAACTGCAAGAACGGCCCTAGCTCCTCCTACAGAGATCTCCAAGAAAATATACTCAGCGGAACCAGAGTAAACAGACGGTGAAGATGCCAAAATTATGTGAGAAATGGCATTGCGTAGATAAATAGCGACACCTCCACCACGCTTACCAATGCGGTCATTGCGGATCAAAGTATACCCAGAGAGTGACACAGAAGAGGAGGAAAGATTTGGCTTAAGCCAGCTTTCTGATACTAAAATGGCGTGAATAGCTGAAGAAGAGAATGATTCTAGAAAATCTGTGTAATGAGAGGGTATACTCTGAGCATTTATATGGCACGCATTAAAAGTATGGAGAGCACCGTCGAATATTTTACCCAGATCATCACCCAACGTCTCGGGCTCAGTCTGCGAGTGAAAGCTGGTGGGAGAAGAATAGCTCGCGTCAAAATCTGGTTGAAAAGAATCATCATCGGACATTACAAATAAATATATAATATGAATAAATATATAAAAACTCTATATATATATAAATTAATGAATAAAAGAACATAAAATAATCAAAATCTCACAACTAGTGAATTAATCCGTCCTGCCGGTTGACAAGTAGAGGGATAAGCAACGGGATCCAGGGCGAAATTAGTACCAACAATAAAAAAAAAAAGTAAAGCTGTATGCACTTAGTATCGTTTGCCTTCAAAGACAGACAAAACAAGAACAAATGAAATGACATTTGACAACTGAAATGACGTGATATTAATGTTAGATTATTATTGTAAATAAAGTAGGTAGTGCATTAATAAAAGGAGTAATAAAATCAATAAAGCGGTTGTTACTTAAAAAGAAAATACAAGATGGTAGGAGAACAAATTGGCAAAAAAAAAAAACTAGTTACATGTATAATGACAAAACGGAAACTAATCAAGCCATACTACATACCAAAAGCTGACACAATATAACATGATGAGTTACTTTTTCGCCCTGGCTGTCCGCTTAGCTTTAGTTGGGGTGGCCGATATTGTCGCCTGCACCGGAACAGCAGGGGCCGCCGCTTGCCTTCAGCTTCACTATGACATTCCCGTCCATTGTCCAGCACCTTCTTATACCAAAGCGTTTACGTGCATTGACGAAAACCGTCTGACGCTGGCGAGTAAGGAACTCCGAGATGGTCCGAGGTGTTCCTTTAAGAGCCGTTTTCTTGCTCCATACAACTGTTCTCAGCGAATGATCACAGAAGCGCACCGACGCTGGCCGGCATCTTCCTTCATTGACACTGCCAAGACGGTGACAAACTGAGAGCTCATCTGCTTTTATAGCCGGACCCATCTTGCCATTAAATAAGCTAACAATAAACTCTGGGAGCCCATCAGTATAGTCCTCCGGAATACCACCAACCAACAGATACTTCCTTCGATGCCGCATTTCGATGTCATCCACGGATCGACTGAGTCCATATATCTGGTCACGGAGGAGTTGGAGAACATTTAATGTTTCCAGTTTGAATGCCCGAAACTCCTCCTGCACACTCGTGAACGAGGTCACAGCCTCTGGAGAAGAAGCATTCCAACGTGCTTCCAGTTCGTTCATCTTCTTGAAGAGTCGTGATTCCAGAGCATGCTGTGTCTCCATAATTGCAGCAATGTTCGCCATAAGTGAAAACTTTTCCAATTGTGTAGAAAAAAAGTGGCCGACAGGACAGATTATTTAAACACTATTCAAAAGTGCATATACAGTGTAGATAACACTATTAAGTGATATTTGTGTTACAAACAAATTAAAAATGTATTAAATTATAATAAAGAGCGATAGTAAGTATTTTTAATTTAATTTTGTAATCAGAGGTCGAACTATAGTGTTTTAGACCTACCGCCCAAAAACGTAATGTGGTATTAAAAAATACATGCAACCCTAAATTATCTCTTCTACCACCTGCCCCTATTTTTATGGCGGTACGAAGTCCGCTGGGTCAGCTAGTATTAAATAAATGATGGGACAAAAACTCTTTCACAAAAAATATTTAGACCCAAACTGAGCATAGCTTGTGTTCAAACCAAATGACTTAAATCCGAGAGCTTAGGTGCAAAAGAATAGAAAAGAAACCAAGAATTTATTTGACCATAGATTTCTTCATAAATTTAGTGAAATTTTGCCTATATGTAGCTCATACTAAATATACTAGCGCGATGCAAAGAACTACAGCGCCATCTATTTTCATACATATGAACTGCAATTTCCAAATTTGTTTTTATTTCTTATTTATTGCTCTTATAATTAGTTAGGTAATTTTATATTTAAATTTATTTTACTATACATGCACAAATGGCGTATACAGCTTGTACTAGCATCTAGAAAGAAAATGAGCTTGTAATCCATATTAATATTATAAAAAGGTATTTGACAGTATTAAAAATAAAGTGCCAATTGTTAGCATCTGTGTTTAGAATAAATATTGGCAGGGGCTTTTACTATTTTTACAAAAAAAATATTTTTAATTTTACTAAAAACCCACTAAAAAGATAATAGTTTTCTTATCTATTGTCACGTGACACAATACGCTTGGGATTGGCGGAGCCTAAAATGACGTCACACGCAAGTAAACTTCCGGTTACAGTGACATCAAATGCCCTATTGTAAAGCTGTTTGAATAAAAAAATGGTTGCCTGTAAAGTCGGTTTTACGGGCGAAGATTTTACGTGACAACGTCTTTTTCTCGGTAGAATATTTATTGATATGAATATAATTAAATTGCACAATAGGAACAAGGAATTGAATGAAAATAAGAATTGCACAAATTTTAACTATAGAAATATATTTTGTTTACTAAAACATTGTACATGTAAACTTAAACTTAACACGAGAGACTCATCGTAACGTTACCGAGCGTTACACTTTTTCATAAGTGACTCCCAGCCGCAACCTAATTTAAGACGTTGTCACGTCAAAACGAGACAATAACAAACCTTTCTCTGGTAGACGAGACCAAATTCTCTTAGATGTTGCAAAAACACCAGCATGTTGTTACTCATGCCTTCTGTACTGTAATCCTGTAATGGAAATCAATGAATTATTCTATGAAATCATATACATACATATTTTAAAACATCATCGGGCTGTATATCTTTTGTAAAATGTGCGAAACATCCAAGTTCGAAGTCCTACAATCTGGGGTCCTTTAAGAGAGGCGTGAAGAAGCATTTTTGCGGGCCGGCAAGGTGAGGATGGCTGGTGTGGCAGTTTTTAACTGCTGTACCAGCTCTTCGCGTTTGGACTTTATCACCACTTAACATCAGGTGGAGAAGAGTCATTCGCCTACCTGGCTATATAAAAAAAAGCTAAAAATTATAAAGAGGATTGGAGCATCCGTCTGGGGAAGTCTGTAAGGTGGAGATACCTTACAGAAGACTACATTGGAATAATTCTTTCTTTTCGAGGAGTTGTTTTTCTGTTAGTAGGTAAAAGTTTCAGGTTGTAGTGTAGGTCAGATTGTAATGTTAAAAGAAAACATTTTCTTTATTATTTTGAATATAACGGTATATTCATGATTTTTTATCAAAATATCATAGTTAGTGAGACTCGTTTAGGCTATTTAACTGTATGAAAAATTATGTACCTATTGTTGGCATCTGTATTCAATATGAATATTAGCGACTTTACTATTCCAAAACAACAAATAATAAATAAGTTTTCTATAAAATCATTAAATAGAAATGATTTTTTTGCTCCATAACGTGACCACGTGACCGAAAACGACTGGGATTGGTCAAGACAAAAATGACGTCACATGCTAGTCAACTTCCGGCCAATTTGACATTAGATTGTATCGTTTGACATTTTAATGCGCCTTGGCCTTATTAGCCTGTGGGTAAATCAGGCCTAGACCCACGCGCAACCGCACCCGGGTTTTAATTCAAATTCAAATTGTTTATTACAGACAACAAAATGGTCCATCAAATCGTTGTAACAATATTTAACTTAAATGCTATGTTAGTATATATAATATTTCTAGAGTTCAATCAATGTGTGTTTTTTTCAAATATTGAAATTGTATTATAAATAATATAAAAAGTAATCTAAACCAAATGTCAAACAAAATGAATTTAGGTAATTAATTAATATTCTACATTTAAAGTTATGTAATTGAAATGTCGTGTAATATAATTTAATGTACTTAAATGTCAAAGAATTCAAGTGAATTTAATTATTTATTTAATGTTCAAATAAGGACAACATTATCCAAAATATGTTAGTAGATACTTAAATTATGTTAGTACTTAATTTTAATTATTTTATTTTATTACTAGTTAACCCAGCGAACTTGGTACCGCCCACGGAGGAAAAACAAAGAGGAGGTGTGGTGATTAAATTTTCTCAAGAAACGACGCGTGATAATTTGCGGGATGCGGGGTGTTCAGCTCCGCCCACTTCTCAATATTTCATCTATCGGCTAATAGCAAAACTAGCTTAGGTTGATATTTATGTTACTACGTAGTAGTTCAGCTATCTAACACTAGATGTTCAAAAGTTTTGTATATAATTGCACGTACTCAGAACTTGAAGCTTCAAAAAAATGAAATATGTAGGTAAATAAATAAAATAAACGTTAACAAATTTGACCGATTTTAAAATTTTTAAGGTATAATTTTTATTATTTTAAAACTAGTAACTGCTTGATGAAAAAAAATCCAGGCAGACCAGGCAGCAGACGGGACTCGAACCCGCACCCGCTCCCGTCTGCTGCCTGGTCCGCGTGGATATTTTTCTAGTTATATTTTCTTTAGATTTAAATTTTAAGGTAGTTTAAAAATAATAGACAAAATGTTATTACAAACATAATTTTATTAAAAAACATCAATTACCTGTAAATAATAGTTTTGGTTAGTTGTTGTCGGTTGGTTGCCCTATCGTTTTGTATTGTGGCAAAATGCTTAAAACGAATATAAATATATTTTTCTGCAATCGATTTCATCAGAAATACAACATGATTAACTGTAGGTGATTGGTCAAATATATGGTTGGCCGATTTTTTGAAACAATCTTGTCCAATAAGTGATTTTAATGTATTCGATACAATTTTATGTTTACGAAAGTTAGGAGTATTCAAAGATTGCGATTTAACACAACGAATACTGCCTTCGGTCCGTATACATATTTTTATGACATCTCTAGATGGGAAAGTAAGACCACCCTTATTTTTAGTTTTTATCAAATCAAGGTCACTATCGTCGTAGTTATCAGCATATAATTCTTTGAGACAGCTCTCACATTTGATCTTGGAATGTAAATATTTGACCACATACCCAGAAATACATGCTACTATTTGACGGCGCAAATAGTCACCTATAGTTGTATTTAATTGTTCATCAAATTCCAATAACATATCGTCAGGCATAGGCTCGACATCCGTGCTATCCGAAGACTCGAAACTCATTTTATTTAAAATGCGATAACGTTCTGATGTAATATTAATTTTTTGCACAGAAGATTCATTTAAAATGGAAATATCTTCTTCTTCTATGGTGTCCAATCCGGTCTATTAAGTTTTGAAATCCATTGCTGTTTTAAATTATCGTTGGATGGAAATCTAAAACGAACATAAAAATAATTAAAATTTATTTACTTGGTAAAATAATTTAATACGTATTACGGCCCTGGATATTTGTAACGTTTAAAAAGTTATTCTATATGACGACAGATGGCGGCCAGTTAGTAATATATTGATAAAATTACTGTTTTAGATACTAAAAGTTATTTAGGAATAAGTGTATAACAGTTTTCAGTATTTACGTATGATTATTACAATATACTACTGCAAAATTATACGTAAACTTGTGTATTTTCTTCCTAAAAGTGTCGCCATCTGGTGTCAAGTAGTAGAATTTTAACGCTGATAGCTGAGGCTGAGAATGTTCTAGAACTTATATATTTAATTACGTATAAAATTACTTACAAATGAAATGTGATGCCATCCATATTATCAGAACGTCTGTCTGAGTAACTTTGACATAGTAAAACACAAAACTTCATCCTTTTCTTGTTAAAAACGCAAAAAAACACTTATAATGCGAGTCTCGTTAAGTGTGCACCTGACGAACGCTGAAAGCATACTGACTTAGGCCCCGCCCACAATGATGACGTCAGGACCTAGTTGAAAATCACAGTGCACAGTTGCTTAGGCCAGCTCCTCTTTGTTTTTCCTCCGTGGTACCGCCATAAAAATAAGGGTTGGTGTTAGAGGGTTGAAAATTCAGGGTTATATGTATTTACTAATGCTGTATCATAAAAAAAAATCTAAAATAGTATAAAAGAAAAAAAAATAGGGATGGATTACCCTTAACATTTAGGGGGATGAAAAATAGATTACATCCGATTCTCAGACCTACTGAATATGCATATAAAATTTCACGAAAATCGGTCAAGCCGTTTCGGAGGAGTTTAACCACAAACACCGCGACACGAGAAGATTAAGGCCCTTCGTACACAACGCTACGCAAATCTTCGATACTTGACGATTTTAGTCTCCAAGCGACTACCGCCATACAAATTCATTGAGGTTCGTACACTAGTCGCGTCGCCGACATTCGTCCCGCGACTCGCGTCGCGCCAGTCGCGCGCTACCGCCCGGACAAGATCTTCGCCACATTAGTCGCAGAGACATTCAAGATGGCGGAGCAATTATTAAATATTAAATTTGTTTCTGAGGTGGAAAAACATCCTTGTTTATATAATTATAACTTGAAGGAGTATTCTAAAAAATACATAACGGAAAAAAGTTGGGTAGCAGTAGGAAATGCCGTTAATTTAACAGGTTGGTATCTTTTTGTAATAGTCAGGAATATAGTAAAGTATAGTAGGTAGCACTTTTTGGTAGAACCTATTTTTTTTTTTCATTATTATGCTTTTATATTTTACGCTCATAGTATTTACATTTTGTATACACATTTAATTATGATAGCTGATGTTGTTGTAACTTGCTGGTTAGCCGGTGTTGTTGTTGTGTTCTAGGATCATGGTAAAATCGTATCCCAACGTCGCTGTTGTTGTTTTAAATAATAGTAAAAAAGGAAAAATATCAATTCCTATACGAGGTGTTTAGACTATAATCCGAGTATGAAATTGATGTCATTCACACGTGGTAAACACTCTACTTTTCATTTCGAATATAAGGGAGGAGGATATAAGGAGATATATAAGTAAAAAAAAATGTTTTCTAAAATAGTTCTGGCAATAACATTTTGGATTTCGATATAGCAAAGCACAATAAATAGTATTTATAAAATTTTATATATGGAATCACCAGTCCTCAGTATAATAAAGAGTACTAGCGTACAGTATGGACACTCCCTGCCTCCCGTTGAAAGTGCCGCCCACCCGCTCTCGGGTACCTCACAGGTATCGGCAGGTAAGGACGTGACGACGCGGAGCCCAGAGCGGAGGCCACATCAAATATAATTCACAAATACTTTTGTAATAGACTGTGTGCGCAGGAACGCGTTTGTTTCAAACATTTGATCGCGAGTGTCCGAGGTGTGACCAGGCGCTGTAGTGTCACCGCTGCGGGCGTCACCTTGCTTTAGGTATTTTTTTTAATCAGCATTGGCTGTTTAGACATTTACAACACCGCTGTATTTTTACCCGACTGCCAAAGAGGGAGGGTAATGTTGAGGGAGTGTATGTAAGTATGTATGTATGTCTGTTCCTTTGTGACCTCCTGTAGCCTAAACGGCTTGATGGATTTTGATGTATGAGGTATCGTTAGATTTGTCTTGATTACGGGAGTGTCATAGGATACATTTTATCCTAAAAGTCCCACGGGATAAAGACATAATAATATTTTTTCTAAATTTCCCTTTAAAAAAATATGTATGCGGTATCATTAGATTCATTTTTAGACTGTCTTAAGGTACTTAATAATTCCCGCGATATTAATTCCCTTACTGAAGTAACAAGACTACGGTATATACCGTCTTAAAATACTAACTAACTAAAAAGTGTGAAATAAAAAAGGTAAATTTAAAAAATCAAAAAACCCGACTGCTTAATTATACTTCAAATAAAAACTGAAAAGAAAAAAACAAGTCCAGTAGTCTATAATTCTGTTAATAAGGAACAAAGCTACTTTAACAGTCGGGACCCACTGTTGAAAAATATTATGTATTCTTGAATATCTAATGGGTCCCGACTGTTAAAGTAGCTTTGTTCCTTATTAACAGAATTATAGACTACTGGACTTGTTTTTTTCTTTTCAGTTTTTATTTGAAGTATAATTAAGCAGTCGGGTTTTTTGATTTTTTAAATTTACCTTTTTTTCTTCTTTATAATCTAAAAAGAAACTAAACCTTATTTATTTTAACTTGACATCAAATATAAAATACTAGCTGCGCCCCGGGGCTTCGCTCCCGTGGGAATTCCGGGATAAAAAGTATCCTATGTGTTATTCCCGGTATTTTTCTACCCGTGTACCAAAAGTTCATCGAAATCCGTCCAATAGATTTTGCGTGATTGAGGAACAAACTCACAAACATACAAACATCGTAACTTTCTCATTTATAATATTAGTATGATCTATAAAAATCTAAATTAATGATAGCTGAATTCTTAAGAAAATTTAGTTCTATTTTTGAAATTCATTCCGGCCCTTGGTTGTGAATGAATTTGAATGAAACATTCCGACCCGCGTGTGGGATGAAGCATCGATACTTGGATAGGTACACTACTTTCCGAGTATGAGAAATGAGAAATATTTCTTCGCGTTTACATAATTACTTTATTTATACTGACTAAAATTTATACAATATAATTATATTGCCATGGGAGTGCTACCTGAGGTTTCAAAAAGTAATTAGCTAAATAGTTTCTTAACGTATTCGGCGAAGAGTGCGCATTCAATTGAATTTGCTGAGGTTGTATGATGACGTCATGTATGCTATTGGAATTTTCTTCATATGCACTATATGGAATCCCTTCTCTTTTCCTAACATAGTTGTGTAAAATGCATACAGATTTTACGATATTATTTATCTTTATATAGTCGTGGCATCTAATCGCAGTACTTAGAACCTGAAATTTCTCCGTCATCATTCCAAACGCGCATTCTACCGTCTTCCTTCCTCTACTCAATCTATAGTTAAATATTCTTTTCGCATTATCAAGTACTCTTTGTGGATAAGGTCTTAACAAATAATGTAACAGCGGAAACGCTTCATCTCCTACAAAGTAAAATGGAAATTTGTAATTGTTGTCATCATTTGGTAGTCGTAAAGGAGCAGGAAGGTTAAGATTGCCCCCTTCAATGAAATGTTTGATTGCTGAAGCACGAAATATACCGCCATCACTGTTCCTGCCAGCAAATCCTGTTTCGATGTATGTAAAGAGTCCATCAGCGTCACTGCATGCCATAAGAACAATTGAATGATATGACTTGTAGTTAAAGTTAAGCGATCCTGAGTTTGGTAGCTTTTCTATTCTTATGTGCTTTCCATCTAAAGCACCCAAACAATTGGGTAAATTCCATAACAAATCAAAACGATGTGCTATTATTTTCCATTGATTTTCATCCGGTGTTGGCATATAAGTATCTTTCAAGGCATCCCATATGATTGCTGTTGTTTCTGCGACTATTCTTGATACTGTAGAGTCCCCTCGAGCGAAATATAAAGAAATCGATGTGAATGTTTCGCCAGTTGCCAAATACCTAAAATAATGTTAATATTATTTCTTTACACTTTCTACATGATATTATTCCAATAGTGAACTTAATATTAACAGTTGATTGCCAGGTTTTTTACTTTCAGGACTGCAAGCGAAAGAAAAATGGAAAAACCTCCGTTCTGTTTTCGTGCGAAACTTAAAACCTCCGGCTAGTGGATCATCAAAAAAAAAGAAATACTATTTGACAGATGCAATGGAGTTTGCTCTTCCTTATATAAAATCAGCTGGAATTCCATCAGGCAGTTTACCTAATTTGAATAATCAAGACGATGAACCACAAGCATCCACACCGCCCCCAATATCACCACCGCCCTTAGCATCACCACCGCCTTCCGTATCACCACCGCCCCCGACATCACCTACTGCATCCTCCAGTCATCAAACTGATCGTACTTCAACCCCGCTATCAATCTCCTCTCAGCGTCAGCGTCGTAAGAATAAAATAAGTGAGAATGATAAACTTTTCAATGATTATTTAAAAACGAAATTAAGCAAGCAGAATGATGTTAATAATGAGTCGACAAATAATAACGCTAACAAGATGTTTTTGTTAAGTTTGCTGCCAGACTTGAATTGTATGACATCGACACAAATAAGATCATTTAAACGTCAAGTTATAGATGTGATAGATAACATACTGAATGTACCTCACACCTCACCAACACAAACACCGGTCTTACTACATATACCAAATACTTCAAGTGCATCATCCTCGCAGATAACAACTGGGATAGAAATGCCCAATAATAATATGATCCAATGTACAACCAACGATGGACTAAATGAAACTACATATATTCATCTACTCCAAAACACTATGGGTGAAGTAAATTATACCCAGAATTAATGATAAAGTTGATATTTTGTGCAAATTTTATAAAAGCAGTATTACTTTAATCTTTGAACTGTTACTTTTTTCTTGATTTTTAATAAAACAAATTGTACATTACCTGATTGTTATTAAAACCCTTTCCTCTGCGCTCACACACTCTCTCATGTGCGTGTCTCTCTAGTGTATATGTGGAACAAGTAAATTCACTAAATGTCTATAACTCTCTTTAGACATTCTGTAGAATGATAAGAATTTTGCATCTGTTTGTTGTAATTCTTTTGCAGCTACAAACACTCTGCAATTTATGTTTTTTTCTATGTACGGATGTACCCAGTATCTTCTGTTACGACGATTTCTTTGTTTCCGGTAAAGATAGTACAAAATTATAGTTTCATCATCACTTGTGTCAGACATTTTGTAAATGTGAAATCTGTTTAGCCGCTACGTCTGCAGTGGCTGAATAGGCAATTCACGTCTTGCGATTCAATGTCGTGTGTACGGACCATGCGCTACTCGATACTCGCGACAAGATACTAATGTAGTATACAACATTAGTATCCAAGATTTGCGTAGCCCTGTGTACGAAGGGCCTAACGGTCAAGCTATAGTTATATGTAGGAGTTTGCCGATACCCATACCTTCCCCAGCGTGCTGAACCCGAGCTGGTAGAGGAAGGCGAGGCACTCGGCGGCGCTGAGGCTGCGGCGCTCCGCCGTCTGCAGGTAGTGCTGCAGGAACAGCCACACCTGCACACCACAACAGCCTCTTCATCATCAGCCTATGAACCTCCCCACTGCTGGGGCACAGGTCTTCTATCAATGGAATAGGGAGTGCAGGCCCAGCGCGGATTTGCGGGTGCTAACGACTGCAGATGCGGCCGGGACCGACGGCTTAACGTGCCTTCCCAAGCACGGAGGAACTCGAGATAGAAGATTTTTGGTCACCCATCCAATGACCGACCACAGCGAAAGTTGCTTAAGTTCAACGATCGCAGCCGAACGCGCTAACCACCTGCGCCATCGAGCCTCATCACATCTTCCATATACAATTACAATGAGGACTGTATGCGAGAATTTGCGTTGTCACGACAAATTCTTCTGTTTATATAAAAACGGTGTCTTTTTGTGGATTTAGCCAGACTCAAGTGCTTTGGCTAAAGCCGCGTTGTTTGATATATAATTATAGTATTTTTTGATATTTACGAGATTGTTAACATGTAGGTACAAAGTACCTACTCAAATCGTTTAAAGACAAAGGTCTTTAAACAATAACAGTTATAAATATTTTAGTGCGATAAATATGAATTTCGCGCAGCTATCGCTAAATTAAATTAAATGTAAATACCAAATTGACAAGGTTTTATCGCGACATATTTTGTGGGGTTGGTTTTATGTAAACCTCATCATGTACGTATTGTATGATAATGATGAATTAGAGTAAGTAATGAGCCTATATTGAAAAATTATGAATCTTAAAACTTCATAATTAGAACTATTTTTGAATGAAGACTGAATTTTTATTTTTATTATCTATTTCATATTATACAGGGTGGTCCAACTAGTGACGTCAACAAATTTTTAGTTACTACGAAAAAAGATAAGAATTTTTGAAACCTCGCTGGCAGAAATCATTAAAAATATACAAAAAAAAAAAATCTAAAAAAAATCGCAGAACATACATGGGGTATTTTCGGATACAAAAAAAATTGTTGACGTCACTAGTTGGACCAACCTGTATAAGTGAAAACTCACTTTAAAATCGATCTATGGGCCTTCGATGCCAGAATACAAATACATTAAAAAAATGGCCAAACCCTAACCTACCTGTTTAGCAGTACTTAGGAGTAGGAACTGGAATCCAGCTCTAGTTATAACTGCAGACCCGTCCTCAGCATCTCTGCGGGAATAACACAATGCCATTGAAATTTTCATTCTTTGTTTCAGTTTTATATATTATCATCACATAAATAGCGGAACAATATGGCTATCCTCAATTATTTATGATAGTTTGTTATATTGAAATGAAATAAACATCTTCAATTCTTCATTGACCGGGTAAACATCCATGACTGGAGTACAAATGCACGTATTAATCACACAAACATGTGCGGGATTCGAACCCGGGAGGGACCTCTCGAGTCGGCGACACCATGAAACCCGGCGTACAAACCATTCGACCATGGAGGTCGTCAAAGATGACGGATGATGAACATATCAAGCAATTTGAAGAATTTGACGACCTCCGTGGCAGAGTGGTTTGTACGCCGGGTTACATGGTGTCGCCGACTGCACTGTATATGTATTCTATCCGTTACCCTAGTATCCCATAACACAAGCCTTGCAGTACTTACTTTGGGGCTAGGCTAATTGGTGTGAATGTTGGAAATATTTATTTACGAAATTTTTTTCTAGTTATATTTTCTTTAGATTTAAACATCAAGCAGTTACATGCTTTAAAAATAATAAAAATTATAACTATAATTGCTATTTCTTCTTTCAAATGTTTAATACTTATAAAAGTATTCATTTGACATTGTGGGTTACCTATAATGCGAAGAGATGGCGCTGCCTTGCAGCTTAAGAATGGCTAGAAAGATTTCGACGCGGTCCGTGAGGGCCGCGGTAGCATAATTGGTCAGTGCATTCGCCCGAATTGTGAAGGGTGCGGGTTCGAGTCCCGTCTGCTGCCTGGTCCACGTGGAATTTTTTCTAGTTATATTTTCTTTAGATTTAAACATCAAGCAGTTACATGCTTTAAAAATAATGTAAATTATCTCTTATCTATTAGACAAGTCTGTCCGTCCGTGGTGCTGTTTCAGCGGCCAAACCGTAAGAGATAGATATAGAGAATGTTTAAGTTATAAGTTAAGAATAGTCTGATAAGACTACTTACCGGATGTGAGTAACGTAGCCCTTCCGGTTTTCGAGAAATCACGTGATTTCTATTTCAAATGAAACCACACAAAATCTCCGAAGTTCTCAATTAATTAATTTTTTTTTTTTTTTGGTGAACCTTTGGTTCACAGGTTTGCTAGTAATATTTATTTATTTAATTTTATATTAACCTAGTCATAAGACCGGCGTGGAGAAGTATTCGTACAGCATCGGCACTGATGCCCTCGGTCTGTGCGCTGCCCACCATATAGTGCAGCACGCACTCCCATCGTTCCAGCGCGTACGCGTCCAGAAACGCGACGTCCCGCGCCTTGCCATCCGGCTCTAGGGACGACGACATACTCCATGGACGACCCCTGACAAAAGTACTCAATTTGAATTTATTTATTTGCATTGGAATAGGGTACAAATACAAAATTCCTATATCCAATAGAAAAAAATTCAACCCCCTCAACGCTTATCAACAAACCACGGTGTTTCAGTGGTAGAAAGCTCGCAAGCCACGCGGGTGGCCTGGGTTTGATTCCCGCCGAAGGTTTTTTTTGTATCAATGCCAATGCACACACGTTTATTGTGCGTCAAATTTTCAATTAAGTCCGATGTAAAGTATTTTAAAAGATTAACTTGCATCGTGGTTCCATGAAACCATAGCATTTTTTTTAGACGTGACTCATGTTTGAGACCTATGTTTTTGTTGTTTGAGGCTGACAGACAATCTGTCAGTCTAAAACTACAGGAATTTGCCAATTTGCCATCTGTGTAATGTAAATGTAATAGATATTAGTATTTAGATATGTAGGATAGGTAGGCCCTGCTATGTCATCATCATCATCATCAGCCTATTAATGTCCCCACTGCTGGGGCATAGGCCTTTCCTATGGATGGATTAGGGAGATTGGGCCATGACCCACCACGCGGGCCCAGTGCGGGTCGGTGGGTGCTAACGACTGCAGATGCAGCCGGGACCGAAGGCTTAACGTGCCTTCCGAAGCACGGAGGAGCTCGAGATAGTAAATTTTTGGTCACTCATCCAATGACCGACCACTGCGAAAGTTGCTCAACTTCAACGCCGCAACGCCGCAGCCGAACGCGCTAACCACTGGCGCCATCGAGCTCCTCCTATACAGAGGAGTAATACAGAGGAGCCCGATTACGCAAGTAGTTAAGCAACTTTCGCAGTGGTCGGTCAATGGATGGGTAACCAAAATTTAACTATCTTGAGTTACTTTGTGCTTCAGAAGGCATGTTAACCAATCCGAACTGGGCCCGCGTGGTGGTTCATGGCTCAAACTCCCTATGAAATCCATAGGGAAGGGCTGTGCCCCAGCAGTGGGGACATTAATAGGCTGATGATGATGACAAAGTTCCACCCATTCAGCCATATTATTGTAGCACTACACTGCACTACAATAGCAAATATTTTACAATGCATTAATATTATTAAAAGCCACTATACTGAGTAAGATGTATTCAACACTTTCAAATCATGTGTCTTTTTAAAACTATTATTAAGGTTAAAGAAATGCTTCAAAAACTCAATTACTTTAACATAACTAAAACATTAATGGAGAACTTTGTTTGACAGTAGATGTTTATTACAACAAGGGAAAACTGTACCCAAAGCATGAACTTTGACAGATCCGTATTCATATCACCAATGTTGAAGTTCTAAGGAAACTAAGCAGTGCTTCTACCAGACGTAAAAACAAACTGACTTTTTCCATAGAAACTTTGACATGGTGATGCAAATATTTTCTCAGTAGTTGTTTGTGCTTGGGGTAAAGATCTGAACTTCTGAAAAGAACATGTAGCAATCGTGCACTTAATAATATATGAAGTTTCACATCATATCTTTCCCTATGCATGTACAATATAAGTTCAATAAAGAAATAATTACTAATCATCAAAATAAACAGAAATACAAAGATTACTGTTGTTTTTCTAAAAGCTTACCCTCCCAGAAGAGCCACTTTTAGATTCTTCTTGAAAGATTGTGCCAGCATCCAGCCTGGCATCCCACCAGGTATCGGTGCCTCTTGCCATACTGACAGCTCTGATAAAGCCTCACCAGCTTTACTTTGTTCTCTACAACAATAAAATAATATATTACACTTCTTCAAGTTGGAAAAGTTTAATTAAATTTTTGGTGATTATGGTTGCGTCTCATTACGTGACGATTCTGCCAATGTCATGGGTTGGAAAAGTCATGTATGGTTTAAAAAAAACTGTTGATGTTCTTATTACTGGACCGGAAAATAAATTTAATAAAATCGACTAAAATACACATTGAGTGCAACAGCTACTAAATTTTCGTTAAATTATAGAAGGTATAAATCTCTTATCTATTAGACAAGTCCGTCCGTCCGTCCGTGGTGCTGTTTCAGCGGCCAAACCGTAAGAGATAGATATAGAGAATGTTTAAGTTATAAGTTAAGAATAGTCTGATAAGACTACAAACCAGATGTGAGTAACGTAGCACATCCGGTTTTCGAGAAATCACGTGATTTTTATTTCAAACGAAACCACACAAAATTAAATACATTTTTTTTTTTTTGGGTGAACATTTGGTTCACTGGTTTGCTAGTATTGTATTAATACATACAATACTTTTCAAAACTACCTTGTCTATTGAAGCTGGCAATTACCACTATTGGTGCCAATTAACATTTATAACGTTCAAGGCATTGTTGCACTGTAGCCGTGAGATCAGTATACTAATATAATATATATATCTGTATCATGATGGTCCAAGACCTCTACAAAGCCTCCACTGTTTGGTTTAAAGTTAGAATCAGTAGAGAAAGAAGCCCATTTTGAAGCCAACGAAATGAGTTCTCAACTCGATCCAAGTTAACGTTTAATTCTGAAAACACAAACAGACCAGCCAATGCTTTTGCAGTCAAAAATATTCTTTTCGTGTGATCACATTTAAAGATAAAGCAAGTGGCAATACAACTTAAGCTGAACTCTTTCCCAAATATGAAATGAAAGGGATTATGGAAGCAATAAAAAAGTTACACAATCATTCAGACCCAGATAATTTTGACAAAACTTTGTGTTAAATAGAATAATTTAAATTAATTTAGTCTGCACTGAAAACTAACTCATAATGTCTGCTAGGAATGCTCATAATGTCTGTTATAACTTACCTAGCATAAGTTTGAGACACCCAAGATGTGACTACAGCTTGAGGAACTGGCTGTTCTACAAATAGGAGACGAATAACAAAGTGTCGAGCAAGTTCTGGCAATTCCCTGAAAAGAAAACCCATGAAAAGTAGTTAATAATTGCAAAATATTAATATATGTAAATATATAAACATAACCTAAAAGTTGCTTCTTTTACTGAGCATTTTGGTCATAAGCTTATGGTATTAACTTACCGATAAACTGCTAAACAAATCGTAGGATAGTTATATAAAGTTTCCAAAAATTGTGGGGAGCGGCTTTTTAAATATTCGTGTAAATCTTTACATTGTAATGTTGGAGCAGGGTTGAGGTTTAAAGACGACTTCGATCTAGATGATTCCGACATTTCACAGAGTTGTAGATTTGTGTTACATCAAAAAAATGATAAATTTAACAAATGACTTTGATCCAAATGTAATTTTGCTTATAAACTTGGACTACCCGGTGCGAAGCAGTTTTAGACACTGACAATTTTGTTTTGACATTTTGTTTTTTTACATAGACAAGACAGACAATCTACCTTTTTTTAATATTTATAGCTTTGACTCATAGACATTAAAACATAATGGGTTTGAACAATGGGCTCGATTCTGATATGATTCTCTTAACGTAAACTTCAATTGGCAACAGTGTATCCTTGTCATACTGTATACAGAATGAAAAAGCGAGACTAATGTTAAATTTAGTGTTAAGTTTTGAAAATCAGGCCAGAATCGACACCACTGTTGTCAAATTGAAGTTTAAGTATAGAGTGATGTCGATTCTGGCATGATTCTCTAAAGCTAAACTTAAATTTGACAACAGTGCATCCTTGTCATTCTCTATACAGAATGAAAAGGAGAGACTGATGTTAAATTTAGTTATAAGTTTAGAGAATCACGCTAGAATCGGCACCACTATCATGCCAGAATCGACACCTTTGGCGTTACGTCATAAGGGCAAAGGGCACTCTCACGCAGTGTCAAGCAGAACCAATTTATTTGTGCAACTGTAAAAACTTTTATTTGGCTTAATTAATATCAAAGTTTAGTTTCAGAGTAAATGTATCTATTTTCGAGGGTGGTGGGAGGTAGCCATCTTTTTAGCTACCTTTTATTTTGTGTTAAGCGCCCTACTGACATGCCTGCCGCAGGGACAATCTAGGGCGCACGGCGGTCGGGGCAATATCGGCTTGTCTCTCCACACATGCCTGCTATACAGTGTTCGGGGGTATGTTGAGTTAAACACACGCGTTGATGATGGTCCCAGTATTATTAAAAAAATCAGAAGATTGGTAGGTAGGGCCTTGGCTTTTTCTATGGTGTTACCGCAAAAAAGGAAATACAGGAAGGAAAACTGGGTGAAGAATTGGCAACAGAAAGAAATGTATTGTAAATAAGTAATGTTTATATTACTAGAAAAAATCTACGCGGACCTGGCAGCAGACGGGACTCGAACCCGTACCCAGTGCCGCCTTTGACCTATTGGAGGCCCTGGGCATATTAGGATAATGGGGCCCCTATGACCCCCGTTTGGTGATTTAACAGGAACTACGGACTTTGTATTTGATCTGAGGTGGGCCCCTATCGATCGCGGGGCTCTGGGCACTTGCCCAAAGTGCCCACTGGGAATTTTCACCCTTCGCTATCCGGGCGAATACACTGATCAATTATGCTGCCGCGGCCTTGACGGTCGTATCCAATTCATTCTAGCCTTTCTTAAGCTGCAAGGCAGCACCATCTCTTCGCATTATAAGTAACCCACAATGTCAAATGAATACCTTCACAAGTATTAAACATTTGAAAGAAGAAATAGCAATTTAAGTTATAATTTTAATTTTTTAAGCATGTAACTGATCAATGTTTGAATCTAAAGAAAATATTACAAGAAAAATTAAAAAAAAAAACAAATTTTGAAGTTATACTTCTTTAGGCGCGTTATGAAAAAATGATGAGAGTGAAATTTTTAGATGCGCGCGCATCACTGTAACCCAAAAGTAACAGCATGAAGTTGGCCGCGGGCGCGTTATGAAATAATCATGTGAGTGAAATTTCGAGATGCGTGCGCATCACTGTAACACAATAGTAACACCATGAAGTTGGCCGCGGGCGCGTTATGAATGTTAGTGTCTAATAATGGTGGATTATTAACCACATCTGATCGAAAGGTACTTTGAACGATTCACGGAGCTCCATAAGATGATCGCGTTGTCAAAAACAATGTTGGCACGCTCGTCGCCTCTGATCACTGTTTTCATATTTATAATATTTATCCACATGTTTCTGGTTTCTATATAGACACAACGTGTTTTAGTTACTTACAAGTGCTAATTACATATGGACTAATAACTTAAATTCAGAAGTGATTTTAATTGAATATTTTAATAATTATTTAATTTTTCAAATTAAAACTGAACTTAATTGACTGTGTTAACTATCCCTTTCCAGTCCTTTTATTATTTTATTGTAATTATTAATTATTTGCATGCAATTAAAAAATATTTTTAATGATGCTAAAGAAGTATAACTTCTCACGCGCGTGCATAAGTTACACGCATCCATTTTTTTTTAGATTTAAACATCGAGAAGCTACATACTTAAAAAATAAAAATTATAAAAAAAACACAAGTGTTGTTTGCTTTTTTATCCCAAATGTGGGGCCGGTCTTTATATACTTCGATCACTCGTGTCCCAATTTCATGCTCATTATGATCTGCCGCCATCTTGATCGAAATAAGTGCGCTCCGTGTGACAAAGTTACTCTATGGACAGCTACCAACAGACTGATTGAGAAATTGCCCCAATCGCACTACACACGCGGCAACGTGCAGAGCGTCAGGGACAATCTACGGACCAAGAGTGGTCTCGCGCTCCTGCCGCCCTGCCGCAGGCCCGATTTAGAAAATTGCCCCTGCTTGCCTACACATATCACAATTCAGGAGGTAATTAAGGGTCATCCCCACTCTTACATCCTAGATTGTCCCTGCGGCAGGCATATCAGTAGGCCGCTTTTAAGGAGACAGCGCTATACACGCAATACCTACCTGTTTATCCATCTCTGCTAGGTGTTTTTTGTTATGTTTATGCAGGCAATCGTGCTGGCTGTCCACCTAATGGAAATTGGTCACTACCACCCATAGCCACTCATGCGTACTACTGGCTCTGAAGGAAAAGGTTTACCCACATTTTAAAGACAGATAAATCATATCTGAAACTGCTGAAAGGAAAAGCTGCTAAAGGAATTTGGCCCAGATCTTACTGGAACGCTGATGTGAGATGACTTATTTTTATTTTGAAGAATTTATTTTGTGTTAACACCACTTTTTATAAAAAAATATCAAAAAGTTGCTAAGATAAAAATTGTGCTAAGTAGGTAGGTAGTTTTTAAAATAAATTGTCATGAAATATAAGAATACAAAGCCGGTTAAGTTAGGTTTTACTACATAATAACAAATTAATAATCCCCTTAAAATGTAATCAACATATAGATCAAAGAATAAATAAAAGGTCAAATCATCATCAAAAAAGTCAAACTCAATATTATAATGTAGGTAGTTTAGACTTTTGGTTTTTAAACAAAATGCAGAAAATTGCAAAAGTAAATATGAAGTACAAAACATTTTTTCATGAAAAAAAATCCCGAAGGAACCCTACGTGACAAAAAACTCCTGTATACCATCATACCTTGATGAGAAAAAAAGGTTCATACTCACACAAGAACTGTACGCTGTACACACGAGCGCACACATACACACTAGCGCGAGTTCACTTCACCGCCGCATTCATTCTCGTCGGCAGATGGCGGATGTAGTTGACGCCCCCCGTCAGTCGCGCATAGACAACTCACTGAGCGCACTGTGATCGCGATCGCTCAGCACCATTTTGTGTGTATCGTTTCGAACGGGACATTGTGTGTATGTGCTCCGTAAATAATCGTGAGCCACGATCATACCAAGTTTTCGAATCGTGTTTAGTGTTTTACTTTCGACATGTACACGGTGGAATCGATGCGATATCTCGAGCGCCTGTAGAAACCGCGCCTCCGTCGTCATGAGCGAGTGATCGTCGACGTAAAAAAAAGTTAACACAGGAAACATGTCTGGGCGGACCGCCGACGCGGATGCGAACGAAGGGTTCCAGTTCGAAATTCGAAAGCGGTCATGTCATCGCCTCTCGGATTTCGTATAAGTCACCGTCCAATGTCAAAATCGTGCACGTCCCGCGAGCGCCGACCCTCCGGATCGTGCGGAAAATGCAATCGTTGATAGTTTGGTGGGCGGTGGTGTCGGCCGCCTGGGCTCTGGCCGGCGCGTGCTCGAGCTCCATCTCGAAGCGGCCGGCGAGGCCTGCGAGGCCGCAGCGGCCCCAGCCGCAGCCTCAGCCGCAGCCGCGGCTCAACGTCACCTTCCCCACGTTCAAGTGTGCGCCGGACTATTCGGAATACTACTGCCTCAACGGTGGCGTGTGTTTCACGGTGGTGATATCGGATAGTCCGATTTACAACTGCGAGTGCCGGAGTGGTTTCGTGGGGCAGCGGTGCGAGTTCAAGGATCTGGACGACTCGTACGTGCTGACGAGTCGGCAGCTGATGATGGAGACCGCGTCGATCGCCGGCGGCGCGACCGTGGCCGTGTTCCTGGCGATTCTAGTCTGCTTCGGCGCGTGGGTGCGGCTGCACCGGCGGTCGAAGGCGCCGCCGTTCTCGGAGGAGCGCGGCCAGGTGCAGCTGGTGGCGGTGGCGGCGCCGCAGGGCCGCGTGCAGCTCTGCAAGGCGCCGCCCGCCACCCTCCACTAGTGTAGTGCCAGTGCCTGTTCCTTGCCGGTGCCCGCGGACCTGACTGTGCTGTGCTCGCCACCGGACGATGCGTCCCTTTGTTTATATCGTAACTGTGTACATATAGATAGATTATGTGTTAAGATATGTCGAGAGAACAGATATAAGAAAAATTTATGTGATAATTATTTTATGAATCTTATAATTTATTTCGAAGGAATTTCTTTTGTATATACTGATCGGAAACCTTTGGATGTTGTAATTCCACAGTGGATATAAAATTTCAGTCTCCTCCCAGTGTTCATTTTGTGAATCTGTATTATTTTGTCCATACTCAGTGTATAATGGATGTGTGAGATAGTTGACCGTGTACCTAATGCTACTCGCTTCAAGTAGAGCTGTTATTATGTTATTGTTGTTGGTACTGTGTCGGAGGAAGATGCTGTTGTGGGTTAAAGAGGCAAGTCTTTGATTTAACTATTTTGTGAGGTAAATAGTCAAAACAAAGACATGTCTTTGGTGTGCAGCTCAGGAGTCCACGTGGGCAGCAGCATGTTGCCTGATGTGCATACTGTTCGTTGTTTGTTGTTGTACAGTTATGAACACCTTGGTGTGCTCGGCAGATGTCTAATCATCATGCCACTGTACTATTTAGATAATTGAATCTATGTTTATTGTATTTATTAGTATTCCATTCTATAAAAATAGAATTGTGATGAATTTGTATTGTGTGCGAGGCAGCGAGTAGCGCAGTTGGTTCCTATAGCCGTTCCAGGCGAGAGCCTGCACATTCCATCATACGGATAGAGAATTTACTGGTGTCAGTATTATTTTGTAACACGAGTCTTAAGCCGGCAGCTTTACTTTATTTTTTAATTTATACCTGTTATCCCGCTGGGGTAGTCTTGTATTATATTTGTTTGAAGGCTGAAAATGTGCCCTTGATAAAAGGATTTTTTTTGTAAATATAGCCTGTGTAGGTATTTATTAGATATTTATGATCGTTTATTTATTGACTGCTTTATTTAGTTAATCTTGATCTGTCGCATCCAGCGCCTAACTTTGCAGTTAACGGTTGCATTTTCATTTCACCCTGCTAAGCATGGCCTCGCATATTACTATTCCGTATGTAATCTCAATATGAATCTCGATTGTGTCTGTTTGTATCTTGTAAAAATTGAAATATAACATTGGATGGTGTAAAAAACGTTTCATCACACTATAAGCTGTCAGTTAATCTTGTCCTAGGCATAAATTGTATTTAAAGGTACCTAATAATCTGCCAATCTTGCTTTTGTATTGTATGATATCCATAGCATTAACTTTACCTAATAAATTAATAACAATACCTATACAAAATATTTAAATAGTTAAAAGCTCGTTATAGTTCTGTATTTCATGGTTACTGCCAGCATTATACTGTGTGAAGCTACAAAAAAATTGCAAATTGTCAAACAGGCTGTGAAATCACAGATTTTAGGGCAGGGGGTTGTAGATGGTGTATTTTTATTTTAGACCGTATCTTACCATACCTATGGCATTTGATGTGTTGACTATGTGATAGCACCAAGAGCGACCCCTTGGCCTCGTCCTATTCCCACAGGTTTTGTAATGAGAGTGTTATAACAGGAGTGGAGTCCCATGTTGTATATTGATTCATATGAGATTGTTTATATGAACATTCCAAAGTATTTGTAAAATATTACCTACATCACTAATAATTTTGAAATATCTGTTAAGACGCTACATTGTTAATTATACAGTTTTCTATTGATCATTTGTTAAAAGAAAATTATACGAAACTAAATCCTTAAATGCCGTTTTTTCAATTGCACCACACCTCTGTATTGTTACACCATTATTTACTGCTGTTGGACAATGTTTATCAAAGTAGGTTAGGTACTAATAAGTATCCATTCACAGATATATTTTTACGTATAAAACTGCTTTAGTCAACCAACTTGGTGATTTTATTAGGTGTTCACTTAACTGGTTCAGGTATAAAAACCAGATTAATAATACTATACTTTACATGAACGAGCGACTAAGTTATCTTCTTGATGATAAGGAAATAAAAAAAAATATTAGCTTATATTCGAAACATTGTAATTTTAGAAAACTGTTGTTTGTAGTGCACAGCGCTGCCCTTAACGCACTTCTTAAAAATGCTAATTATTATAAACTTGAACTACTTTTACATAAAGACTGACGCATAGGAAGGATTCTTCGATGAGTCGATATCTACGCATGTCTTTGTAGAAGTTGCACAATGAATTGTTGTTTTTATGTTAGCTGTGCGATTAATGTGTAATGCATAAGTCAAAGCGATCGTGAAATCAACAAACTTCACGTAGAACGTACGATTTTCGTAAACTTGTGCAACAAACGCCCCGCCCGCTCCTACGTCAATTAAAAAAAATTGTTTGAAACAATTTTAATATAACAAAATTAGTGTGAAATTGGTATCTCGGTAATAATAAGGTAACGACACGCGAAAGAAAGTTTCTCGATAACGTACTGGATTCCATAGTGCAGCCCGGTCAGCAGCGAGCTTCATAAATGGCGTTACAAAAGTGCGTGATCCATTCGGTATGAAAGAGATCGCTCGGAAAAAGTGAAGACGCAAACGAAACAAGGAGACGCCACGGCAGCCCATTGAGCGTTGGGAGCATAATTTTTATGAATACCGAGCGGACCGGTCCGCCACCGGCGTCGCCGCATAGAGTTCATTGAATGAGTCGCAGCGCACTGCGTTTGTTGACATTCCCCGAAAACCTGCCCCGCCCGGAATAGCTCGGTATCACGGCTCCCGATGGATGGACAACGACACAAATAGATACCGCTGCGTTTCGTATTAAATGCCGTTTTCGGTTTTCAATACACTACACCTATCTTAGGCAGTCCATTTATTTACCGGGAGATGGGATTAAGGCGGTGTGACGCTCGCTCATTGTCTGAATCGACTTTATTTATAAAAGGATGATAAATATTCATGAAGATATAGCACTGAATCGATGCTAGCTATGATACATAATCACGATATTCTTAGGAAATATATTTTTCAATCTTAAGTAGGTCGTTACTCATTATTATTGTACGAAGAAAGAGTGTGGTACACTCAGCTGTATATAGTATTAGGTAGTTATTTTTATTATTTACCTTAGCGTGTATTATTATCTACGTTATAGGTATATAAGTTTATATATTTTTAGGGTTCTTCCTGTTAAATTATTCTAAAAGAGTAACCTAATTTGGGACAATCCGTATTTATGGCGCAATCAGATCAGAAAACTGTTACGTGTGCCTTATATATGTAGGTATAGATTTCACAATTTATCATTATACTAGTTAAGTGGTGGCACGTACGATTTCGTTCACAATCTTGCATTAGCTACTACATTACTAAACAAATGATTTAAATGGGTAATCCGCTCGGAAAGCATATACGCAGTGTATGTAAAGCGAAAGTAGATTATGTACTTTCAAACAACAATTAGATAGTGGAAGCTATACAGACGTCAGCAAAACCTTGTGAATGAAAACGTCAAGTTAGACAATCGTTTGAGCGCCATCGCTGTCCGCGTTCTACGGCGACCAGGCTAGGGAGAGCTGCCACTCCGTCCGCTGGTTAAAGAGAAACGGGGTGCGGAGGAGCAGCCGTGTTTAGATGCAGGGCTCCGGTGGCTGGTCGTCAGTTGAGACGTAGCGTCGCTCAGCCCACGCCTCGGGTCGTTTATGGCCGGGGCCGGTGGTCATTGCGTCCAATTAGTGCCTACGTGTCCAGCCCACTTGTCATTACCTTCGCGAAAATCTTCCTGTGACCGCGTCCTATTACGCTCGGTGGGTATGTCATCTTCGGAATCTGTGAACGCTCCGGAGGTAGGGTTACCAGAGGATAAAATCAATAGTCCGGAGGAAAAGTTTGATTTCCATTGAAAAATCCTGAGATTTTTTACTGTCTGAGACAGTTTCTCTCAAACCGTACTTAACAATTTAAAAAAAGTCGTAATATTATCGTTTATACTCTGCTTGTACTTTTAAATCAATATAATTTGAAGACCTTCATATTCGGGGCATTCTAAGAATTTATAATTAAAGAAAAAAACCTTACTTAAAAATGTATCTTCACATATTAAGTATGCTAAAACTGATTAAGTTAAGATTAACTTGGATAATAAAGTGCTGATTTTAATTGTGCAATTATTACCAAAAGAAGATTATTTTTAATTTGTTTAACTTTTTATTAAAGAGATCTTTAAAACTTCAGCTGTATTTTACTGGAAATTCAAAAAATCCTGAGATTTCACGAGATTTGCAAAATCCAGCCGCAATCCTGAGAAGAGTCCAAAAATCCTGAAATCTCAGGACAAATCCTGAGATATGGTAACCCTATCCGGAGGCATACCGGAGGTGCCGTCTCGTTTCCACTGCGTCTGTGTGAATGGGATGGCTATCGAGCAAGGCGAGTTTCTTTACGGTGTTATTTATTTGCTCGTTCTTGTTCCTTAGCCACGTTACGACGTAGCTAGTTTATAATTGCTTTTAACCATAAAATATGGTTTTAAGGCTATCCGAGACAATAAAACACTCATATATGTTATGAGCTGTGCGTGTATACATTTAAATCAGAGTTCCCCAAACTTTTTTGTGTCGTAGACCCCTTGCCATGTTTTTCCGTGTTGGGTAGACCCCCTACTTACCTGATATTGATTTTTTTTCGCTGACGTAGACCCCTTGCAGGTTGTCATAGACCCCTAGGGGTCGATATAGACCACTTTGGGAATCACTGATTTAAATAAATAAACAGTTGCGTTGTGGCTGTATATGAGTAACGAATATGCAGAAATATATGTCGAGCGTTATAAATTATAAACAAAATGTATCCTTATTGTTAAGGTAGGCAGAGAGGCAAGGTTATTAATTCTCAAATTAACGACGAGACTGCACTGCGAAGAAGCATCTAGAACCTGGGGGTAATTACCCCTCCGGGGGTAAATCAGCCACACTTAGGGGGTAACAAA